GACCGCCTGTCCCCGAGGCAGGTCGGGCGCGGCGCCTTCCGGCCCCACTCGATGGATAGCGACGACGACGGCAATGCCTCCGACTCGGCGAAGGGGAAGTAATCCTCCTCCCTCCACCCTTCTTCTTCTGCATCATCTTTTTTTTCTTATTATTCTTCCCCTCTTTTCTTCTCCACCCTCCTCCCTCTTCCCCTCCCCGCTCTTCGCTCCTCGTTCCTCCTCCTTCGCCCCCCTCCTCCTCCTCCTCCTCTTCCTCCCCCGTGCCCGCTTTTCCTTCCCCTCGCTCCTCTCACCTCCTCCTCCTTCCTCGGGCTCCCCCTACGTCCACCGCCCAGGCCAGAGAGGTGCCCCTGGAGACTCCTTTACGCGTTTCACTGTAGAGCGGCAGGGCTGCGAGCACCTAGTGCGCGAGCATTGTTCCCGTATTGTCCCCCCTGCATGAGATCACTTGCTCTTCCCTAAATCAGAGCTTATCACCACACCGACGGCCTCCCTTCCGTCCGTCCTCACTTCTCCCTCATTGCCTCGTGACCTGGAAGGTTTGGGGGGCGGTCATTCTAGCGACCCTTGGGCCCGGCGTCTGATTGTGTTGCCCTCTGGATCAGGAGGTGGGGTGAGAGAAGGAGCGAAAGGAGGGGGAGGTGGATGATAATGAAAAGGAGGAGACAGGATGGGGAGTAGGAGGTCTAGGATGGTGTTGATGGTGGTGATGATGATGCTGATCAGGACGATGACGATGATGCTGATGTTGGTGATGATGCTGACGATGATGATGCTAATGATGATGATAATGATGATGATGGTCGTGGTGGTGGTGGTGATGATGTGATGCTGATGTTTTGGCGATGCTGATGCCGATGATGACTCTGATGATGATGGTGACGATGATGGTCATGATGATGCTGCTGCTGATGATGATGATTATGGTGCTGGTGATGCGGATGATGATGATGATGATGACGCTGATGATGATGATGATGATCATGATGATGATGATGCTGATTAGATTGATGATGATTCTGATGGTGATGTCGACGACGATGACGATGATGACGATGGTGACGATGATGCTGCTGCTGATGATGATGATGTTTGTGCTGCTGCTGTTGTCTATTGCTGTTGCTGATGATGCTGCTGATGATCATTATGATGTCGAGGATGCTGATGACGATTCTGACGATGATGATGATACTGCTGCTTATGATGATCATGCTGATGATGCTGCTGCTGATGATGATGATATTGATAGGGGATTATGACATTGGTGGTGATGAAGATGATGCTTATGTTGTTGCAGATGACGAGGACGATGATGATGATGATGATGATGATGATGATGATGATGATGATGATGATGATGATGATGATGATGATAATGATGATTATTATGACGATGATGATGATGATGATGATGATGATGATGATGATGATGATGATGATGGTGATGCTGATCATGATGTTGTTGTTGATGATGATGATGATGGTGATGATGATGGTCATGATGCTGCTGCTGCTGATGATGACGATGATGATGCTGATGGTGATGATAGTGATGTTGAGGAGGTGGTGGTGGTGGTGCTGGTGGTGATGATGATGATGATGAGGAGGAGGAGGAGGAGGAGGAAGAGGAGGAGGAGGACCAGGAGGCTTGCGTGGGTAGCCCATGGGCTGTTCATTCGGATCTAGGAAGCTACGACCGCCAGACGTAGGAGGGTCGGGGAGGATTTTCTCGTGCTTTCTTCTGGGGCGGACGGAAGGTAGTCTCGGGTGTGCCTTCGATGTTAGCCTGGCTGTGACGATTGCCGTGTGCACAAGAACTGTTGTGTTCGTCAGGCCGCGTGACATTAGGATTGTGCACTCGGACCCTCGCCTGTTGGTCGTCACGATGCAGGCGGATGGCGACTGTCTTTCACGAGTGCGTTGCTGTGGTTCGTGCTCCGCACAACAGGCGTCCGATGGGCAAGAGCCAGCTGTGGTGGTCGCAGGCAGAGGAGGTGGTAGCCAGATGGAGGTCAGCCATTGCCACGGTCGATGCTAATGCAGGGGGCGGCGCGGCATCTGATGTGGATATTGGGTTCGAGAACCTCGCGCGGCATCCTGATTTTAACGGTCTGTTATTGCGCGAGATGCTGGACATGCTCCAGCAAAGTGCAGTCAAATCTATTTGGGCACACAAGGGCGGCTATATCTGACAGCCTAGTACCAGAGGGCTCCATAGGATAGACTACGTGCTGGTGCCCCTGAGTTCCACTGAATGTTGAAAGGGTTGAGGTAGATCATGTTTTGATACCTTGTGCAAGCGGGAAGACCAGAGTCCTGTGGCTGTGCAATTTGAGTATTCGGTTGTTCACAACAACATGGCGTCTATTGGTTGCAGTGTGGGCCCCATCTCCTGAAGGGCCCCAAGGCTCGTGAAGTCTTCGTCGAGGTCTTCAATAGGGCACCCGTTGTGCAGTGGGCAGTGGATGTGGACAAGCATCACGAACAGCTGTGCAAGCTCTTCCAGGACGCCTGCACGTTTTTTTGTTTGTTTGAAAGCAGTTTCACGCGGTACAAAACGTATGTCACCAGAGAAGCCATGGCCCTTGTTCGTCTCCGCAGTTGGTGCATCAAGGCGTTTCGTGCCATCGCTGGTGGAATAATAAGGCTAGCCGCATGTTTGTTTGGTCCTTCAGGCACTTGTTGCAGTATCTTGTGCCGTGTGATTTCGCCTGGTAGCCGCCTGCCTCTCGTCTTTGGACAGCTTGTAAGGATCGCCTGGCTGCGGTGAATCAGTGTTATCTAGAATCTAGAAATTGGCCTTACCATGCCACATGCAGTTGAATGAAGTAGGTTTCTGGACTTGAAGGGCCTTCTGAGGGCCGGGTCAGCTGAACATCGGGTGTCCAAGGTGCAAGGTCTGACCCTTAAGGATGCGGAGTCCCGTGGGTCGGAGCGGAGCAAAGATGAGTGGATGCTTGTGTGTAGGATTCTGGCCGGGTGTTTGTGCAATCTAAGTTTGCGGGGGCGGGCTTCTCGCCCATGTGTGAGAATGACAAATGTGAGCTTCCTAGCGCCCCAGTGGAGTGTGACAAGGAGCTCTTGGGTCACTTCGCGTCGATTGGGGCTGCCGTCAGAGAGTCTCCCGGAAAGGTTGCTGCCGCATTTCTGGCCACTGCGAGAGTTATGGGGTGTGATTTCCAAGCCGAGATTGATTCTGCCCCTTGCCTGCGCTGGGCGGGAAGTGCCGTGTCAAGAGCTCCTTCTGGCAAGGCTGCGGGCGGCGACGCCGTTGTTTTTGATGTGCTCGCGGCTGCCCCGCGGGCTACTGTTAGGCTGTCGCAGCCGTAGTCGGCCAAGGTTGCGCTGGTCGGCAGAGAACCGGCCGCCTGGGAAGTGGGCCATCGCGCGCGCGATGCTTGAGGGCAAGGGTTTTGCAGACTATGCTGAGGGCCACAGGCCCATCGTCTTGGCGGGCGCCGTGCCCAGCATGCGCTATGAAGTTTTTGAAGGGTGGTGCGTAGATGAGCATCGAGAAGTCCTGCTCCGTGATTCGCAAGTTTGTGGCTGGAAAAGCGGGGGCGCAGGCTCTGCTGCCCAGTCAGTGTTAGCTTTCCTGCTTCGGGCCCAGGCCAGCGAGGCCACGGCGATTTTGCCCACGATTGATGTTGTCTCCGCTTTCTATTTTCGATGATCAAAGAGTTCGTCGCCGCGCTGTCCTCTTCGAGGGGAAGGAGGGGAGGCCCTGCAGTCGGTCGGGGTGCCCGTGCGGATGTTGCCTGCAGTGAAGGGTACCGCGCAGGAGCCGGCCGTTCTCAACGGCAAGCTGTCGCCGCATCACGAGCATGTGCTGGCCGAGTCTCAGAGGGGCGCCTGGCTCACAGTTGGTGTTGCCGACGAGAGAGTGCTGGCCTTGAGAGGCTCGAGACACGGCAATTCGCTTGCCAACGTTCTTTGCAGTTTTTTCGTGCCAAGGTCTTGGGCGAGATGTGTCGGCAGTTGGGTGGTCTTGGGCATTTGTGCTATACCAAGGCTGCGCAGACTCCCGAGAAAGTCTTCGCGGGTCTCAGTGGGCCTGCTGAGGGCCCCCTGGCTGGCGCCGCGTTCGCGGGCGATGCGGACTTCCCCGCTGAGTGTTCGGATGACGCGCAGATCTGTCGACGTCGTGATCGATTCCTTTTTAGCTGTTATTGTGGCGTGTGCGTCCTGGCAAGGGCTGAGTGTCTCAGTTGGCAAGTCTCAAGTGCGGGCCCTGGTCAACGGGACATGCAGCCTTCAGTGAGATGGGGTCCGTGTGCGCGTGCGCGCGCAGTCGCAAGTCTGTCTTGCCGCCTGTCTTTTGTTCGGATGGCTCTCCGACCACGGAGGTGGCCAAGGGGCGTGCGTCTGGTCAGGCGATTGCCAGTGCAGTGTGGAGATCTGTGCATGAGATGAATCGCGTGTCGAGCGTGGCTAAGCGCCATTATCGTATTGCTCTTGTGGAGTCAAAGTTGTTTTGTGTCTCGGAAGTTTGGTGCGGGTCTGTCCATGGGGGTGGGGCGGGGTGGTGGTGGTGGTGGCGGTGGCGGTGGCGGTGGTGGTGGTGGTGGTGGTGGTGGTGGGTGGGGGGCTCAGTGGTGCTTGCGTGGGGTCCCATCAGGGGCTCCCAGGGGAACTCGGGTTGGAAGGTTGGGATGGTTGACCTCGCGGATGATTTTGCGTTGCCCGATTGTGGCAAGGCCCCGTCGAGTGTCTGCTCTTCTTTGGCAGCCTTCGGCGTCTCCCTCGCCTCCTGGGGAAGGCGCCGTGACAGTGGCGGTCGCTTCTCGACGCGCGGTGGGGGTCAGCGGCGGTTGGCCTGAGCGGGTGGCGACGGATTCGTTTTGGGTGGGGGGTTCTTGCTTGCCGAGAACTTAGCCGAAGTGGGCGTTCTCATGGGGGCATGGTGGGCTGCGCCAAAAAAAAAGCTGGCTGTTTCCCGTGCTGGTGTTAGCGCGGCCTGGAAGTGAGCTCGAGAGCGTGAGCGCGGCCAGTGCTGCCTCAGGGCGCGGGGGATATCGTTCGCTGCGCCCGCCGTTGAGGGCCCCCCCCCGCCCCCGTTTGCCGCTGCGAGATGCCCCTTCCGCTTGTGTTTGTTAGGAGTGCGGGTTCCTGGCCAAGCGTGCGGCGGGGCGGGAGATATACGTGGCTAAGTTCCACCCCGAGGGTGGTGATGTTCGCCGGGTTCTGTCTGCGTCGCGCGCGGCTGGGCGCTCCGTGCCCGGTTGCGGTTGCGCGGGCATCCGGGAAGTCGGGGCCGTGCCTGCTTGTCCCCCATCTGAGGCGCCGCCCAGCTTACGAGTGCGTCAGAGGCAGCTGCCTCGCGCGCGCGCTTGACGCGCAGGAGAGCTCTCACGTCAGGGCGAGGGGCGGGCGCCGGGAACAGGGCCACCGCGTCGGCTACTCGCGCGCGCGTGCCCGCGGTCCGCCCCGCCGAGTGCGGGGGCCGGGTGCGAGGGCTCCCCGCGGTCGAGGCGGCGCCAGAGGGCCCTGGAGCCAGTGTTGCCATTGGCAGACGTCGGCTCGGGTATTTCTCGGTGCTGCGTTTTTGCCTCGGGGGAGAGACGGCCCGGAGGAGGAGGAGGAGGAGGAGGAGGAGGAGGAGGAGGAGGAGGAGGGAGGAGGAGGAGGGGAAGGAGGAGGAGGAGAGGAGGAGAAGAGGAGGAGGAGGAAGGAGGAGAGGAGGAGGAGGAGGAGGAGGAGGGGGCGTTCGGGATTGTCTGGGGGCCGTCGTTGCTCGAGCTCGCAGGGCGTTATCCGTCTGGGTGCTCAGACTTGGCGCTGCTGACGACGGAGCCCATGGGGGCCTCCCCAATGCCTCTGCGGTTGCCTGATGGCTCATGGCTCAGCTTGGTTAAGTTTGTGGCTGTGGCTGTGGTCTTCGCCCCTTCCCCCCCTCCAGTGAAACCTGGGGTGCGGCTGGAGGGCGCGCGCTGGAAGGAGGGGTCTCCTGGCTCTCTCTCCTTTCGAGCATGGGCAGATTGACCTCGGGGGCGCCCCCCTGCGCGCCGCGTTGCAGTGTCTCGTCGGGTGTGATGCGTGCGCCGCCCCTGCTCGCGCGGGGCATCCCGCGGAACCGCCGTGGGGTCCGGGGGCGCCTTCGTCGTGGCAGCTCGAAGAGCTGCGGTATGTGGCGAGCCCTCCTTCTGCCGAGAGAGTTGCCACTGCCCAATGTAATTCGGGTTGTGGGTTTCAGGCGCCCGCTGCTCTCCTCACGGTGCAGCTCCGTCTCTCGGGGTGAAAATCCGTGGGGTGCCTGGGAGAGGGGCTTGCTTGCACCGTGGGGGACGCGCGGCTGCGTTGGGTGTCTCGGAGTCTGGAGATTTCGGAACTGTTGCCCTCAAGGCCTACCCGCCGTAGCTTCGTAGGCTCCTCGCCGATTGCCTGTGACGTAATCTTTCGCCTGGGCTTCCTGATGGTGTGTGCTCCCATGAAGTGCCGCTGGAGGCCCGCGGCTTTTACGTACCACTCGATCCGTTCTTTTCGTTCCAACGCTGCCGCGATTGTGCCCGGTATGTTGGCAGGCGGAGGTTTGGAGGCCGGTTATGGGCTGTGCGTGCAGTCCCCTTTCGCACGCGTGTTGTATGTTGAATTGAACACGCGTCCGTCTGACACCATCACGCTAGAACGCTAGAGCCCTAAAGCGCTAGACCGCTAGGAGGAGGTGGATGAGGAGGATGAGGAGGAGGAGAAGAGGGGGATGAGCAGGACCAGGAGCAGGAACATGAGCAGGAGCAGGAGCAGGAGGAGGGGGAGGAGCAGGAGCAGGAGCAGGAACAGGATCAGAAGCATGAACAGGAGCTGGAGCAGGAGGATGAGGAGGAGGAGGAGCAGGAGGAGGAGCAGGATGATGATGATGAGGAGGAGGAGGAGGAGGAGGAGGAGTGAGAGGATACTAATACGGGTGGTAGTAGTAGTAGTAGTAGTAGTAGTAGTAGTAGTAGTAGTAGTAGTAGTCGTAGTAGTAGTAGTAGTAGTAGTCGTAGTCGTAGTCGTAGTCGTAGTCGGTAGTAGTAGGTAGTAGTAGTAGTAGTAGTAGTAGTATAGTAGTAGTAGTAGTAGTAGTAGTAGTAGTAGTAGTATTAGTAGTAGTAGTAGTAGTAGTCGTAGTCGTAGTCGTAGTAGTAGTAGTAGTAGTAGTAGTAGTAGTAGTAAGTAGTAAGTAGTAGTAGTAAGTAGTACGTAGTAGTAGTAGTGAGTAGAATAGTAGGTAGTAGGTAGTAAGTAGTAGTAGTAGTAGTAGTAGTAGTAGTAGTAGTAGTAGTAGTAGTAGTAGTAGTAGTAGTAGTAGTAGTAGTAGTAGTATCCGTAGTAGTAGTACTAGTAGAAGTAGTAGTAGTAGTAGTAGTAGTAGTAGTAGTAGTAGTAGTCGTAGTCGTAGTAGTAGTAGTAGTAGTAGTAGTAAGTAGTAAGTATTAAGTAGTAAGTAGTAAGTAGTAAGCAGTAGGATAAGAAGAAGCAGTAGTAGTCGTAGTCGTAGTCGTAGTAGTACTAGTAGTAGAAGTAGTAGTAGGAGTAATAGTCGTAGTAGTAGTCGTAGTCGTAGTAGTAGTAGTAGTAGTAGTAGTAGTAGTAGTAGTAGTAGTAGTAGTAGTAGTAGTAGTAGTATAATTATTAGTAGTAGTAGTAGTAGTAGTAGTAGTAGTAGTAGTAGTAGTAGTAGTAGTAGTAGTAGTAGTAGTAGTAGTAGTAGTAGTAGTCGTAGTCGTAGTCGTAGTCGTAGTCGTAGTCGTAGTCGTAGTCGTAGTCGTAGTCGTAGTCTAGTAGTAGTGGTAGTAACAGTAGTAGTAG